ACAAGGGAGTTTACTGATTATTTTTCTACCGATTTAGATATTGGCATAGAGAGGACACTTCTTAAGTTTGTAGATGATCCCAAGCCAGGAGGGGTTGCAAGTGTTTGGAGGATAGGGTCATAATTCAAAATGATCTGGAGAAATTGGAGAAATGGTCTGAGGTCAACAGGATGAAGTTTAATAAGGACAAATGCAAAGTGCTCCGTTTAGGAAGCAACAATCAGTTTCAAACATACAGAATGGGAAGAGACTGTCTAGGCAGGAGTACGGCAGAAAGGGATCTAGGGGTTATAGTGGACCACAAGCTAAGTATGAGCCAACAGTGTGATGCTGTTACAAAAAAAGCAAACATGATTCTGGGTGTGGTGAGCAAGTCACGAGAAGTCATTCTTGTACTCTACTCTGCGCTGGTTAGGCCTCAGTTGGAGTATTGTGTCCAGTTCTGGGCACCGCATTTCAAGAAGGATGTGGAGAAACTGGAGAGGGTCTAGAGAAGAGCAACAAGAATGATGAAAGGTCTAGAGAACATGAGCTATGAAGGAAGACTGAACAAATTGGGTTTGTTTAGTTTAGAAAAGAGAAGAGTGAGGGGGGACATGAAGCAGTTTTCAGGTATCTAACAGGGTGTCATAAGGAGGAGGAAGAAAACTTGTTTTTCCTTTCTCTGAGGATAGAACAAGAAACAGTAAGGGAGGTTGAGGTTGGACATTAGGAAAAAGTTCCTAACTGTCAGGGTGGTCAAACACTGGAATAAATTGCCCAGGGAGGTTGTGGAATCCCCATCCCTGGAGCTATTTAAGAGTAGGTTGGATAAATGTCTATCAGGGATGGTCTAGACAGTATTTGGTCCTGCCGCGAGGGCAGGGCCTGGTCTTGATGACCTCTCGAGGTCCCTTCCAGTCCTAGTGTTCTATGAAGTAGTGAAATCTACCATCACTAGGATGTAGCTCTTCCCCGACCATGTGACTTAACTGAAGGGCCCTGCTATTTCCCTAGCCACCTTCCAGAAAGGCTCTTCTGTTATTGTTAGCCGCCTCAAGGTGGCTTTCCTCTGCAGGACCTGCCGTACCATTGGACAGCATGCTATGATTCTATAACTATTTGCAGAACTAGTTTTCAGTGGCCCCTTGCTTCAAGTCAATAGCTTAACCAAACCCGTTCTTCTTCTTCAAATCTTTGGAAGCCTCGTTTGAGCATAAACATGTGGCAACATGCCGTGAACACGTCTCTTTTCATGGAGATCAGCCAATCAACGTTAGTGTTCCCTTTTGCTAAAAGCTGTGGACATTATGAATGCATCAAACCACTCTGGCTCATAGACGCCCAGAATCCTAGGGCGGGCAGAGACCTCAGGAGGTCATCGAGTCCTGCTCTCTGTCCAAAGATGTTTTTGTTTGACCGAGATTAAATATGTAGCAATCCAGAACGGTGACTTTATCAAGGCTTCAGTGTTGAATTAAAATATAAAATCAGCGTAGGAACACTGCTTAGGAAAATGTAAACCCTAGAAGGGCTGCATCGTGACTCTCATAATATTAACCATTGTATTCAGCAGAAACGCTGATTTGCCCTCAGGACCAAGTTGCTGCAAAGGGAATCTCTGGCCTTCGTGAAGGAACGGCCATTAACCTGGGACTGGTGAGTTTTGATTCCCAAATGCAGTGCTTTCGACTTGGTGCCTTCTGCAGGTCCAGTCCGCATGCAGTGGGGGACACGCTCCATTTTCTTTAAGAAAGAATTTTAGAAGAGGGGGGCATTTAAAATGTCATCGGCTCAATTTGGGTGAGGGATCTGGTCACAAGGGGTGAGCAGGGAGGGGGACGGAAAGGAGGAGGGAGACAGTTGGGATGTCGGGGACTGGGCAGAGGCGGAGTAAGGGGGAGAGGCCTGAGCAGAACAGAGGTGGAGGACTTTGCCTCTCCTAGTAACAAGAGGCTGGGGACCACTGGCTAAGCAGCAATTTGGAAGAATAGGCCCCTGGGGATTTCAGTGGGCAAGAAGCTAGAGAGGAGCCAACAGGCTCCCCTTGTAGCCAAGAAGGCAAATAGCATGTTAGTGCGCATTAGGAGGAGCATTGCCAGCAGATCCAGAGATGTCATTATTCCCCTTTATTCGGCTCTGGTGAGGCCACATCTGGAGTGTTGTGTCCAGTTCTGGGCTCCCCACTACAGAAAGGATGTGGGCGCATTGGAGAGGGCAACCAAAATAATTTGGAGGCTGGAGCACAAGACCTACGAGGAGAGGCTGAGGGATTTGGGCCTGTTTAGTCTGCAGAAGAGAAGAGTGAGGGGGGATTTGAGAGCAGCCTTCAACTCCCTCAAGGGGGGTTCCAAAGAGGCTGGAGAGAGGCTGGTCTCAGTGGGGGCAGATGGGAGAATGAGGAGCAAGTTGCAGTGGGGGAGAGGCGGGTGGGGAAGCACTGGGATGGTGTCCCTAGGGAGGGCCTGGAATCTCCATCCCTAGAGGTGTTTAAGTCTCAGCTGGACCAAGCCCTGGCTGGGATGTTGAGTTGGGTTGGTCCTGCCTTGGGCAGGGGGCTGGACTCAGTGACTCCTGAGGTCTTTTCCCATCCTGGGACTCTATGAGCTCTGTAATTATTCCCTTCTCTGGGACTGTGCTGATTGCTCTTACAGAAGCAGCCAGAAAACACACCTGGGCAGCATCCCGGCCTGTTGCATCAGCCCTTGAGTGGCAGCGGATTCCACCTGCGCCAGGATCTGCTTTTCTCCTGCTTTGTCTCTTCTCCCCACAGCCATGGAGAACCAGACAGAGGTGAGGGAATTTGTCCTGTTGGGCCTGACCCATGACCTGGGGCTTCAGCAGCCTCTCTTCGGTCTCTTCCTGCTGCTCTACGTGGCCAGCCTGCTGGGGAACGGGGCCATCGTGACCGTGGTGATGGCTGAGCCCCGGCTCCACACCCCCATGTACTTCTTCCTGGGCAACCTCTCCAGCCTGGACATCTGCTTCTCCACCATCACCGTGCCCAAGATGCTGGCTGGCTTCCTCTCCGGGCCCCAGGCCATCTCCTTCGCCGGCTGCCTGGTCCAGCTCCACTTCTTTCACTTCCTCGGCAGCAGCGAGGGTGTGCTGCTGGCCATCATGGCCTACGACCGCTATGTGGCCATCTGCAAGCCCGCGGGCCTGCCTGCTCCTGGCCGTGGCCAGCTGGGCCAGTGGCTTCCTTCACGCCCTGATAACCACGGTCATGACCTCCCGGCTGCACTTCTGTGGCTCCAACCGTATCCACCTCTTCTGGTGCGACATCAAACCCCTGCTCAGCCTGGCGTGTGACAGCATCCGCCTCAACCTCATTCTGCTCAACATCGATGCCGCGGTCCTCGGTCTGATTTCTTTCCTCCTCACGCTCTTCTCCTACCGCTACATCATCTCCTTCCTCCTCCTGAAGGTCCAGTCGCGGGAAAGCCGGAGAAAGGCCTTTTCCACCTGCACCTCCCACCTCACCGTGGTGTGTCTGTTGTACCTGCCGGTCCTCGGGAACTACATGATTGCCTCGCCGGGTCTCACCTCTGAAAGAGACATGATCCCCACCCTCATGCACAGCATCGTCACCCCCGTCCTCAACCCCCTGATCTACACTCTGAGAAACGAGGAGGTGAAATCCGCCCTGAAGAAATTGCTGCGTAGAAACCTTTTCCCTAAAAGAATTTGAATTAACTGAAGGCCCCTTTTAGATACCGCTCTGTGAGAAAGTTCAATTACAATGAAAGCGTTTCCGCAGTTAAGGTTGTTTGGGTAGCGTCGCCCCATTTCTCATCAGGTGTTTGGATTTTCTTTAACTGCGAGGATGAATATCCTGTGTGTAGTTTGGGGGAAGTACAATATCTTTGTAGCCCCAGGGAAAAGAGCAGAAGAGAAGTCCTCCAGGCAAGCTAGAGTGGACAGAGACCAGCAAGCCAAGTATAAAGAAGTTGCTGAGATAGGCAACTTCCAGCTGGTTTTTTTTTTTTTTTTTTGAAAAACCATACTTG